TTCTAGAGTTGATCCCAAAATTTGTACTGAGCTTGATATCATCACAGCTCACACCTAGGCATCATGACATCTACTATTGTAGTGAGAATAACACACATGACTAACTGTACATCAGAAAGATACAACTTTAACACTCTAAACGTAACTAACCTTTTTGCCTTTAGTACCAGTAGTGACAGATTTAATAGAATTCCATGTCTTGATGAGGGCTTTCTGTTGTCCATCCTGAGAAGTAACTATTTTATCAGGTTTTGTCATGCCAAAATGATGTTTCTTGCATAACTGTTGGAGTAAAAAAAAAAGAATATGGTGATTACACATACAGGATTCAACTCATGATGCATGAACATTTGAACAGCACAAATTAAAATACAGAGCAGTGCAGTAAAAAAAGGCTTAATTTTCAGAGAAGCACTGCAAGTGCTTACACAAATTTATAAATTCTTTATATCTAAGCACTATTATAGTTATATTTTTTAAAGAGCTTCAACATAAATATGTCATTACATTTCCCTTGCATCTATTATACGGGTAGATATTTGATGGTAGCTATAGGGCCATCTTTTGAGGACAAGTTTAACATGTAGCTGCAGCAGCTTTAGCCTTTGAGTCTGTGGAATACTCATACAGGAGAGAGCTTGATCCCTTTTAACTTATGTCTACCAATCATGAGACTGATTTAACCAGCCATATGGTACTGGGGATCAAGATACACATACATTGTACCTCTCACTCTCAGGTTCTACTTGTAGGTGGAAAATTAGTATTAGACCAGTATTCTCCTATAATTTTATTCTGCATGAATGCAGAAGCAGGAAAGACCGCGTAAATTGAGTGATTATTAACTCTGCTTAAACGCTTTTGAAGAATGCAGTCAATTACAGTACTATTCAATAATATATGGAGAATTTTAAATCAAATTAAGATAATTGTCTGAGAAAATGAGTAACTGGATATTGAAAATTATGTTAAATTAGTTAATTTCACTATGGTTTCATATATGTAGTATGACAAATTTATCACCCTGACTTTGTTTCCCTGACAACATGCTCTCTAGTCTTCTTTGTATTTAACACACTCTACTCCAAAATTAGCATCTGCAGAAAAAAATAAACTTCTCAAATCAGTTTTTCCATTTAGAAAATACAAATTATTTAGAGGGAACTTCATTTTATTTCTGACAATTACTAATTTAAAAGTTGATTAGAGGTATGTGTCCTCTATTCAGAGTAATACACCAAAGTTAACATGGCAGACATAAACATTGTTGGCTGGAGCAATTTGAATTCTTGCATACTGGTAATTTATAACTATACACACAACTCCAAAATCTTCTCTGAGTGGTGGAGAAATAAAGTTATTGCAAGGAATCAACTATATGAAGTTTCATTCATGTTTTATTGTGGGAATTAATTATAAAATCAAGTAAGGTTTTGATGCAGCTGAACACTTGACATAAGAATTTCCTGAAATGCTGCTTCACTATGACAAGCTATATAAAAGTCTAAAAAAAAATACTTGAGGTACAGAAACTAAATTTCTTATTTATGAAATCAAAATCACAAAGTCAAGGTTTCCATTGAATCAAGGCTCATTCATTTAACCTTTGCAACATATTAAATGTAATCTATACGTGTATATCAAAAGCTTGTGGTAGCAAAATATTATTTCTATCTTTTTTTGTTTTCCACTTCAGTATATATGTACAGGTACTGTATACTAATCGTTTACAGTATTACTAACATGTACATTTGTATAACACAGCATATACAGAATGTATATTAAGTTTTAATTCTTGCCTTAGAGCACACACTGACATTTAAAGGATAGCAATACAAAGAGACAATTGTAAAGCATTAATGAACCCTTCGACATTTGCTACTGGTTCCATTATAAATGTACCGGATTCGGCTGATACACCGCCCATCCTAAACCCCGCCCATGGGCGATGTTTCAAATAGTGGGCGATGTTTTGGTCCACACATTGCCTGACTGAACCAACAAACATTTTTACAGACCCCAATTTTCCCGTCCGACATCTTGTATCGAGCGCGCTATTTCAAATATGACGCTAAAATAATTCACTGTGAAGTCGAAAAGCATTAAAACTTCAATAAAACCAATGCTGTATACGAATTGTTGTTGCGTATTATGACTCGTTAAAATACATTTCACTTACGTTTATTACACTCGAATAAAGTCTACGATTGAAAAGAATGTTATTTACAAAGTTTAAAATATCCAAGCCTTCCTGGTTCGAGCCTCTTGGTTGTTATCAGTAATGTTTAATCCTTGTCTGTATCGCATTCCAGACAAAAAGTCGGTAAACAAGAAATAGGCAAACTAAAATGTCTCCCGCGTTTTACATACGACATGATTATTAAAAAACAAAGTTAAGCGGTCGTGTACGTTCTAT